ACATAAGCCAACTTTTATTTTTTAAAATAGTACTGACTACAGTGTATTGAGTAGAGTTACAATGTTTGGTTATGAAGCCTGGAGTTTTTGATCGTTTGCTAACTAGAAGCTTGGCAGTTCAGATCCACTAGGACTAGAGAACGACTTCTACAAAGATTACAGGCAAGAAAACCCTCTGGAGTAGTTTTAGTCTGCATGAGCTGTATTCATTGAGACTGTAATGGTGGGAATAAACTTGACCATAATAAATAGTTTTTAGATTTTTGGTTTCATTTTTAACAGCTTGGCCACATATTTTGTCCAATCCTTAAAACAGACTTGCAATGTAAGAAATGCCATCTTCATTTTACAGGTAACTTGGGATATTGATATTACTTATTCATGGTGGCACAGCGTAGGTACGCTCGCAGAGTGAGGCAGGAGTGTCTGGCTCGAGAGTAATGATCAATGTTCTCTATCAGTTACTGGTTATACAACTAATTCATTTTGTCAAAGTTTACTGCACTGCATATTAAAACCTGAATTTTACTGTATGTAAATTATACCACAATGTTGTTGTTGTTGTTGATTGCTGTCAGGTCAAGCATGACTCATAGTGACCCTATGAACATAAGACTTCCTGAGGCTTTTCTGTAACTATTATCGTTCCTCAAAGTTCGTATAGTTTCCAGAGGCATGCTGTTTAGGAAGTGGATAGTGGAAAGAAGCTGCGCTGAAATCCTGAAGGAGCACATTTCAAATCCGCTAGCTGCTCCACAGGAGAAGGAAGGGCAATCTCCTCCCATGAGATTAACTGCTTCTGAAAACCTGCCAGAGGGTCAGCTATGGGTTGGTTCCCACCTGATATACACAAGAACAATAGGTAGCATGAGTTTAGGTATACCACGATAAAGCTAATTAAAACCACAATGACCCAGTCCTCAACATACACTACATACAAAAAGCAAGCCACTAGGGTGTCAGAACACTTGAAAATTGGCTTTTCTGGCCATTGCATTTGCTCCTAGTGGACACAAATAAACTAGTAGGAAACTTAAAAAAAACACACCCAAAACAAAAAAAAAACCCAATCCAGCAAAAAACAGTGGACACATGGTCTTCTAAATCATCAACAGCTGTGGAATCAATGTAAGAGAGTACTTTCCACACTGTAATAAAGGGTGGTGACAGTGCTGGAGAGACTGTAAAGAGACTGAGAGGCTCTGCTGTGAAGAGACTGTGGCAAGATGTAACCAGAGGAACCCTGAGGATAAAAGTCACAGTTAAAAGTTTTGCTTGCACTCCTTAAGAATAGAAGAACGGTAGGAGGTATCTCACTCCCTGATTTCAAATCCTACTACACTGCCGTAGTAGTAAAGACAGCATGGTACTGGTACAATGACAGACACATAGATCAATGGAATCGAATTGAGAATCCAGAGATCAACCCATCTATCTATGGTCAACT